GGAGAACTTGTGTCTATATAGATTGCCATTGCCGAATACGGTCAGTTGGGCGAATGCAATTCCACCAGTGCTGTTGCATTGGTGGAATTAGTTTGATGTCCCTTCCCCCGCATCCTTCGATTAGCAGGGTTGGCTACGTACGGCGTGAAATAGCTTCAGCATAAGAAGATTAGCGCCATTGCTTTACGGTGAGGGTTAGCGATGCCTCTGTGACGAGCAGCATTACTGCTGAGCACACAGGAGCACCATGCCCAGGCTGTGGTAAAGGGCTGTAAGCTACTAATGGGCGATAAGAATGCTTATCCTCACTTCGCCCTCTGTTTGTTTTCGGTGTGATTAGAGCCATTTGAAGTGGTTCGTGTTATAAATTGTGTGTTGAGTGTATTTGCTGAAGGGCTGTTGTAGAATTGTACAACGATTAAAGTGGCTGCTGCTGCTGCGTCTGTATGTCTAAACACAAACTTGACCGTTTAGTGGTTGCGCTTTAACCTAGCGATCTATGTTACATCCCTGGTCACACACAACACCGGTGCCAACCGTTATCCAGCCCCGTCCTGGGCTCCCTCTAGGTGGGCCCAGCATAAAGCGAGTGTATTCCTGCTGTGGGATGTGTCAGCCTGCAAGTGTCGCCACCGAGGGGACGACCGATGGCCGGGTGTCGATGTGCTGGACACGCGGGGACCCCCACCGCCTTAGCCGTGCGTTTGTCGTGGACTTTTCGTCTGAGGGCTTTCGGCTCGTCAAGTGTGTGCCCTCGCAGCGTTACCGCTCCACCGGAATTTGCTTTTCCGTGCCGAGAGAAACGGGGGCTGACTTAGAGCCCCGCGTCGGTGTCACGGCTACCGCTCGTGAGCTCTGGATGGCGGCGCCGCGCGTGCGGCGAGCGGACGGACGGACGGATGGGCTGGCGGGCTGCCGCTTGTTTTGTGTGCGCCGGGCCCCAGAGGGGAAGCCCCGCGTCCGTGCGTGGCTGGCCGGGAAGTGCTTCAGCAAACGGCGTTCGCTGCAGGTCAGTGGGGATACCCACGTGCGTCCGCGCACGCGTGTGTGTGTGTTTATGCACACGAACGTAACTAAGTGTGTGTGTGTTTGAGTGTGTGTGGGTCGGCTAACAGCACTTGTCCCTACAGTCTGTTACAGGCTATATGGGGGATCTTTGTGGGTCGGCAGGGAGTGGTAGGTGGTGTAGTGGTTAGCGCGCTGCGCTATGAACTCGGCGACCCGGGTTCGATTCCCGCTCGTGGTCAACACCGGTGACGATTTTCTGAACCGGCCCTGGGCCTCTCCTAGGTCGACTCGGCCTCAAATGAGTACCTGGTGCGGTGCTGGCCACCCACTCCCTCGTGTACCGTTCCAGCCTTCATAGGTGCTCGGTAATAGCACTTCCCCCTACAGTCTGGTAAGGCTATATGGGGGATCTTTGTCTTTTGTGTGTGTGGGGAGCGGTGGAGTAGTGGTTAGCGCGCTGCACTCATGAATTCGATCAGGGCTCACGGTGAGCAATCGGTGATGGATAACTGTACCGGGCCTGGGTGTCCCCTATGGATGAATGAGCCGTGAATGCGAACCTGTTGCGTTGTGTAAACATCTATGCTGGAGAGACAAAGGCGGCCAGGCGTGATGATGCCCACACCACCCCATCGTAGGTGCTCACTAATGGCATTTTCCCGAACAGCCTGATAAGGCTATTAACAGGAGGTCTTTGCAATTGTGTGTGCGTGTGTGATTTAGTTTGTGTGTAAAGTATGTGCACTTGAATCTTGATTTGAAGCTTTCGTGACTGCAGGAATCCATACTCTTTGGTTCTTTCGTAAAGTCACCTATACCTACGTGACTTTACCGAAAGAACCAAAGAGTATGTGCACTTGTACGTGTGCCTAAATCGTATGGGAAGCGGTAGTATACTGGAGGGTGAAATGAGCCACGATTTCTGCCATCTGGGTTCCAACTGGATTCAATTGTTACTCGTTACACGGAAAATCCCGTTTAATCAGTTACCCAGCTGGTTCGCAAGGATATAGATAGGTCCGTGGTAAAATTGGCATCTGCATCTACGTTGTGTGGCTTTGTGTGGTGCTGCGTGCACCTCGGGGCTGGGAAGTCAACGGTGGGTCAGGTGTTCATAGTCATCTCCCATATCCATATCAGTGTTGTACCATGCTCACCGTAACAGGCACTCACAAACTTTGCCCCTGAAGCCGATTGTGCGAGACACGGGATCTCTCTCCTTGTTAATGCCTGCTGTGGGTGTGTGTTCGAACACACAAGCATGTGCGTTTGTGTGCAGGCGTGTGGAAGCACTATTATACGTGCGCAGGTTCGTGCCTTGCAAGAAGGTGGCATTTAAAGTGACGGTACAGTGGCATCTTGTAACCAGACAAAGCTAGAAGAAAACACAGTGCCCTTGTTGAGACCCAGACGTTTATGTCCTCCGAACACATGCAAGCTGGTTAAACATAAACACCCCCGCGCAAAAGGCAATGTTGTTGATTAAAGGTTGCGATATTGTTGATACGATTTATAAAGACATTTCGACCTTTGTAATGTTTACAAATGCATATGTCAACATCGTTTATTGCACCTTTAATGCGTGGGTGGAAAACACATGCAGGAGTCATTTTGTTTAGATTGATTTTATTTTAGTAATTTGCTACTTTGTTTTTTTTTTTTCTCTCAAAGTTGGCTGGGATATTGCCAGTGGCCAGTGAACCTAACATAACACTGTGTTAGCCCGCTCGGAGTCTACACCCCGATTGCCACAGCCGAATATCACTGCAGCTTCACCATTAAATTGATGCATTGCCGCGCTGCTTCACGGAAGTGAACCATCTTAATTGCAATCACGAGGGTAGACTTGTGTATCATCATCATGGTCAGCCATGCTCAACCTCCTGCTGGATGAAGGCCTTCTTAGGCCACCGCCAACTCTCATGACCCTCTGATGTAATAGTCCACCTCGCACATGCACACAAACTGGTTTTGTCGCCCCATCTCATCGTTGGACATCCTCTTGGATGCATTCCATTCCTTAGCTGTAACTCCTTTATTATTCTTGAAAATCCTACATTCCAGTGAATTGACCTGCCCAAGGCCACGGGTGTTTATTTATAGTTTTAATGACTATCATATATCAGTATCATCATCCAAAATCCCCAATCTCTACAAATAGTATCTATGGCGTGCACTCATTTGCTTCGTGTTATCCACTTTTTTTTTAATCAGGGTTGTCCAGATTCATCTTGCAGACGAAATATTCAGCGAGGAATAGATCGAACAGTCTTGAGACCCGATTGAGGCCTTGCGTAAAATTTCATTCTTAAATCGGATTCGAATAGACCGTGGAAAAAACGTGCGAGCCGGTCTCGCGTTACGTAACGATTGCTTGTTTGGTTTCACACGTTTCTTGAAGGGGAATAATTACGTCAGTTGGTTCTCACCTGGATTAACAATGTACAGATGATACGCGTTAGTAAAGCAAACAAGAAATATTGGCGTAAGTCTTAATGCTCGTGCTGTTCCTAATTCTTACGGCAATTCCCACAAGGGAGTTTCACGCCAACATTGTCGTCATTCCGATCGCTGCGTTCTTGGCTCTGCCTCTCGACTCGAAGCAGACTTTGTGTACCGGTTTGAAGATTAACCGCGTCCCACTGCGCTCCCGACAACCCGTGCCGCGCTGAAGGCTGCCCCGTGCGCGCGCGAAGCGTTGCGCGCTACTCACTCCGCACGCGCTACTCACTCCGCACGCGCTACTCACTCCGCACGCGCTACTCACTCCGCACGCGCTACTCACTCCGCACGCGCTACTCACTCCGCACGCGCTACTCACTCCGCACGCGCTACTCACTCCGCACGCGCGCGCGTTCCGCGTCTCTCACGCCAACCACGCAGCCCATACGCTCCCGCGCATGGGGTGGCTGTAAAGCCAGGCGCATCATGGTGCGGCCAGGTTGGTAATCGCTCTCTCGCGCACACAGAGGAGGGAGGGAGGGTTCGGGTGTTTTGTTTTGGTCAATCGCAGTTAGCTGCTCACAGACCCATAGGCACGAAGTGGCCAGCGGCCAGCAACAAACGGCGTACTCTTAAAGGCTGCAAATAGGCGAAGTCAATACATCTCGCCGATTGAGCCAGTGTGTGTGTGTGTGTTTATACACACGCAAGAATTTGTGTAGAGCGGTGCGAGTTGAAACAAGGAGCGGACACGACCGCCAGTTTCTGCTCTGTTCTGAAAACGGGGGGGAGGGGGGGGTGATGAAGACCGATGGTGCTGGAATTTCATTGCCACAGTTGCACTCGTAATTGACGTCATCGGTCCGCGGTGACTAATGTCGATTGGACAGCTGCTGCTGCCGAGCGTGTCACTAAAGGTTGGGGGGGGGGGGTATGTCGTCGCCGTTAATGCGTTCAGCATAGGGTGTGGGTGTGCCCCGAGGTGTGACGATTTCAGGGTGGCGCAGTGGTAACAGTTGCGTCTCGCAGCACAGCAAGAAGGGCCCTGGGTTCGAATTCCTGACACGGGCCACCTTTTTCTGTGTTTCGCCTGGGTTTCCTCCCATAGCTGGAAACGTGCAGTTGTATGCATGTTGAACTTCTTTCGCACCGTACGTAACCAACCATGCTAATGGCATCGGTGTTGGCCAAACATCCCGATGCAGGGGACCCTCTTGAAAAGTTGTTTTTGGACTCCACGTGGCCTTCCTGGGTAAATAAGTAATTAATTAATTCAACCCCCAACACACCCTCCCCTTTAACAATTCGCCGTCAATAAAACGATCGATTTATAATTTAAAAAATGGTTGCATTTATTCCTCACGAACTGATACTCCGCTTTTGCCCAACATGTCACTGTTTTATTGCTTGTGCCCGCCAGTGCCCATCGATAAGCTTCTTGTTGGCGTCTGCGTGTGTACGCCGTGATGGTTGCGCGCCACATGCTGACGCTGATGGTTGTGATGCTGACTGTTGTGACATTGTCGTGGTCGTTCTTGTTGTCTGTGCAGATCTATGCCCCCGGAACCCTGAGTGGCCGCGTGGCGCGCATGAGCCCCGGGTCCCCATGGCCTGCTGCCGTGTCATCGTGCCGTGCCTTCTGGCTGCTGCTACTCTCTGCATCGCACGCGCCACAGGTAGTGACATCGCTACACCCGGCGGCAGCAACTGTGGGTCCCCTGAGAGCTCGTACAGCACATGCCAAAGTGAACTTTTTTATATATATATTAAAAAAGAGAGCGCTCAACTGCTATTTTCCTGAGCCGGTGGTGGAAACTTTTGATTCCTATGGCGGCGGGGGCCGCCAAAGTATAACCACTGTCAGCATCCCCACAAAATAGTTCTCGTTTTATCCACCCTGAGGAGTGATGGACTATGTTAACCCCCAAACCAGGATTTGAACTCACAACCTTCCAATTGCAAGCTGCTCGCTCTACCGCTGAGCCACCGAGCCGTTCTCTCTTTTTTTATCAATCCACATATATATCTTGTTTAAAAGATATTCATAGATATATTAATTAACTTCTTGGCGTCTCCGCGAATCTTAAAACTACAGCATTTTTTTCGTGGAGTTTGAGTAGTTGCTCTGCTTTTGTTATTTCTTCGCACGTTTGGGTCCGATCGTAACGTCACAAGTCGAGACGCGGACGTCTCCTTTGCTTTAAAAAAAAAAAACACTCCTTTAGAATTCAGCCAACTCACTTTGCACCGATGCCGTGCTCCCCCACACATCCATCCGCCTGCCTGCCCGCCCGCCCGCCCGCGCGCACACAACAGCAGCTGTTCAGTGACTTATCTTGGTGGAATCGCGGTGGAATTAGCAATTAGGGGGTGCTGGATGATGTTCAAACAGCGGGTGAGTTTTTATATCTGTGCGCACACAGGGCACAATGAAGCGTGCATTTTTATATTTATGGTGCACTGTGCTGCAAACTTTTTCCTGCATGATGTTTACACGTGGGTGCCCCCGTGCTCTTCGCAGCGTGATTTGTAGGGGGCAAAGGTTGACGATCGAAGCGTCAAGTTCCCGAATTGTACCAGGCCTGAGGCTTAATTTGCCTAGAATCGGTAGCCGGTGCAGCGAGTAAAACATTGTCTCCTGGGATGCTCGGGTTAGCTTGGCGTCTTGTGCCGCTCCTCGCCACAGCCCCGTGTGTGTTGGCACATCCTCAGCAGTGGATCATTCAACACTGCTTTCCCTCAAGAGCGTATATGGTGAAAATAAACTGGAATGATTCGTAATTGACGATTGTGGATCGGATCTCAAGAGTGCAATGTCAGCAAATAAGTCTGCGCGTTAAATACAATGGAACATCAGTCTATGCACATGCGCATTGTGTGTGTAGGTGTTTTTCAGTACTGTGTATATACACGTATACGTTCACATTCCATGCAACTGAAGTTTTGCGTAAGAAAGACGTTCAGTCATGGTATTTGCAATTACATTTGATGAGTGAATACTCTTCCAATGTTACGAGGCTTAAACATTGATGTTGAATGTTATCTTAAATGAACAAGGTAAAAAAAAAATCCGCAAAACTAGATGTCACCTCTTATCTGCTGTCATTAAAGGGATATCCCACGCCGTAGGAATGTGGAATTTATACTAATAGCTCAGAGCCACCAACAGAGGGGAACATCGTCCCGCAATCTCTTGATCTGGCCCTTCACCAGCATTGATTCAAGCAAGCCTCACTCTGCCGGAGACTCGCTGAATGTTGAAACTGGTCGAGATTTTGCAAGTGCTTGAATCAATGCTGCTGGAAAGATGCACGCCCAGCAAGACTGTGTAGCGACGGGTTGTGTAAAAAAAAAAAAACACTTTTTTTTTTTTACGTGGAGAGACAAATACGGTGAGGAGGCAATATTTGTTTGGGTCAGGGAGTTGCCTTGCCTTGACTTGTGTCGCTTCGGCTGAATGATAATTTTGGAAGCCACCAGCGGTGGTGTTTTGGCACTGACACTGAAACGAACAATTAAAATCGATGGAACCGCACGCGCGCACATTTCCCCGCGGCTTGGCGGACCTTTCCGCTCAACTCGGCCGCCGCTCGCAGGTCGCTCTCCCTGTGTGGCATCTTCGCGCGGTTGAGGTAGTTGAAGCAGGAGTGAGGGCCGAGCTGGGGTTTGCTTCTGGGCTGGACAGGGAGGTGGGTGCTGCCCCCCCCCCCCCCCCCCCACACCCACCCAAGCTTCCGCGCTCACAATGAGCCTGTGTGTGGAGCGAGACGGAGCTCAAAAGCCCCATTCAGTGGCTCTCTCCCACCTTCCCCGGTGCTGCTGATCGATTCCAGCAATTATCTGTAATTAGCTTTCCCCAACAGACGCGGCTGAAAATGGGGGGGGGGAGAGGGGGTGGCTCGCTCCGGCGTTGGCTGGCAGCAGCTTTCGCAAGCCGCTTGAGCAGCACTCCTGCTCACCGTTGTGTGAAAACAGAACAATATTTTTCGTTGGAAATGGTCGGTAGTTTCGTTGACTGTTGTTGTTACTTTTTTTTAGAGGAAAGTGTACGGATGCTGACCGGATTTGTTCTCTCCATCTTTTCAACTTGTCCGCGTGTTTTTGTTGTTGTTGTTGTTGTTGTCGTCATTGCCGTGTTGCTAACTCTCTGGCTGACGTTGAGTGAAGATTTTTGGCCGACATTTAATGCAGCGGTGGGATTTGTTTGACCTATAAAATAACTGCTTTACTTTACGCGCGTGTCATTTGGGAACACGCACAAAATGTTGGTGTCTCCCTCCGAGCTCTTACCCAGCAATGGAAATAACAATTCCTATGGCGATGAGCACACTACCACCGTGGATTTCTCACAAAGTTGTGCTCTTTTTTATTGGCCCTGGTGAAAATGATGGGCTGCGACGAGGCCCCAACCTGCATTAGAACTCATCAACTACCAGGCTGCTGTGCATTATTGAGTGCTCGAGCCGAAGCGGCACCTGGGCCGGACGTGTGTCTGGGACGTGTGTCTAGGACGTGTGTTTGGGACGTGTGTCTGGGACGTGTGTTTGGGACGTGTGTCTAGGACGTGTGTTAGGGACGTGTGTTTGGGACGTGTGTCTGGGACGTGTGTTTGGGACGTGTGTTTGGGACGTGTGTCTGGGACGTGTGTTTGGGACATGTGTTTAGGACGTGTGTCTGGGACGTGTGTTTGGGACGTGTGTTTAGGACGTGTGTCTAGGACGTGTGTTTAGGACGTGTGTTTGGGACGTGTGTTTGGGACGTGTGTTTGGGACGTGTGTCTAGGACGTGTGTTTGGGACGTGTGTCTGGGACGTGTGTTTGGGACGTGTGTTTAGGACGTGTGTTTGGGACGTGTGTCTGGGACGTGTGTTTGGGACGTGTGTCTGGGACGTGTGTTTGGGACGTGTGTTTGGGACGTGTGTCTAGGACGTGTGTCTGGGACGTGTGTCTAGGACGTGTGTTTGGGACGTGTGTCTAGGACGTGTGTTTGGGACGTGTGTCTGGGACGTGTGTTTGGGACGTGTGTTTGGGACGTGTGTTTGGGACGCGTGTTAGGGACGTGTGTTTAAAAACTATGAACAAAACTATTTTTATTCTACCAGGTAAAGCTGGCTGAGCTAGATAGCTCTTTTTCAGAAGCGACCTGGCGACGTGTAATGATCGCACGACGAATTGTCTTGTCACGTGCACATTTATAGCGGCGAAATACTCAAAACGCACGTTCATTCGAAATGCGGAGGGAAATACCGCGAGGACCCGGAGAAAAATCCCCGCGACCACGGAGAGAGAGAGAGAGGGAGACACGCAAACTCCAAATATACAGCAGCAGGCGTTGGTCGGGATCGAACCCACGACCCCCTGCATACCGGACGAGGTAGTCGACATCTCGCGAGTCTGCCGAGTGGCGCCGATGGCCGCTCGCTACGCAAAACTCCCTGCGGGCGCTTCGCTTCGTCGTCGCAATGCCGGTCCAAGAGCGGCCGTCGCCATCGGCTCCCATTCACGGGGGGGGGGGGCGGGCGGAGGGGCACGGCTCCGCCACGCATTGTGGCCGCCCTGCGTGATCGTAGCCCCGTTGTGTTATTGTCACTGTGTCAGTCAGCGTGTTTGACAAAGCTTTATTGTATGAACTGCGGGAGTTTATCATTGGATAAGAGGGGGGTCAGGGTTTGACACTTGCCAATGCGTGGAGGCCGTGGGCAGGGGAAACAGCCCCCCCCCCCCACCTCTTTACCCCCCCGTCCCCCCCCCCCCCACAGGCCCCCCCACCTCCATCCCCGCCCCTTGGCCGCCGTGATAAATGATCTGCATTCCGAGTCCCCCTTTACAAAGAGGATGCTAATAAAAGCTGTTGGGGTCACAGCAAGTCTCGCTCAGCTGCAAATAAAAGTTTATCGGCTCTGCTGACTGCTAATTTTTCCACACTCTTGGCCTTTATTTTACGCGCCGCGAACAAGCGAACGATTTGGCATTCATATGAAAATAAAAACAACGTGACCTTGCCGTGGAAATGCGATGATCGTGAAGCAATGTCCCGACGGTGCCGATTCTCCCAAAGCGGAGGAATCTCTCCTCTGGCCTGGCTCGTGTCGCACTCTCTCTCTCTGTGTGTCTCTCTCTCTCTCTCTGTGTCGCTCCCGTGTGCAAATCTGCCGGAGAGTGCGTTGGGACGTCGCGTCGAACATCACCCGCAGCTTGCAAGTCGAGCTGTTAATGCTGCCCGGGTCTATGAAAAAAACGGCACACGGTTTTACTGGGCCCGCCAGCCGCCCTTGATTGATTCGTGAACGCTTTAACCCTTAACGCATCTCGACAATTGGCGCTTCCCCAGCGGTTTCTATTCAGTGGGAGGGGCCCTGTGAAACACGGCGTACAATGCGTCCAGTTTCCGTCAGTAAGTATATAAATGCCTTCATGTACACCCAGGTGAGAAACGTTGTATCCCTCCCCGAAGTGAGTGCATGGTACTCATACGAGTCCATTATCTGAGCCTGCTGCCCCATATAGGCCGTCGGAGGGGCCGGGGGGTGCGAGATCTCTGCCCGCGTTATACAAGCAGAGTATGTTTTGTGTGCCTGTGCACATGTGCCACAACAGAGCCTTCCCTCCGGCTGACATCCGAGCCGGAATCCGTGACGCAGCGGCCGGGAGGGGAGGTGAGGCTCGGTTGCACGACGGACCCTCAAGGCGCTGCCCTCGACTGGCAGTACCGCGGTCGCGGCGGGGTCGGCGCCTGGGAGAACGCGGCCCGCCACGGGGGCGTGCTGCTCGCGGGGAGCGAGCTGCTCATCGCGGCGCTCCGGCCGGAGCACGAGGGAGCGTACCGCTGCGTGGCGACGGCCGGCAACGGCTCGGTGACCAGCGCGCCCGCCAACGTCACGCTCGCCCGTGAGTGCAGACAAACGCAGCAGCTTTGCGGTTGTAGGGCACGCGGCAAGCGGCACGTGGCGGGGTCCCGCGCTGGCGAGAGACGTTAACTTCCTCGGCCACGTCACGTCTATTTTTCGGAGTTTGCGCTCTCTCGGTGGTCACGTGGATTTTTTTCTCCGGGCCCCCCCGCCCACAGTTTTTTTCCTCCACATTTAAAATCGTGCGTTTAAATGATGAGCCGCTTTGTTGAGCTATTATTTGTGGCCAGGTCGTTTCTGAAAAATAAAAGTAGTTCATAGTTTAGTTTCAATAGCGTGGCCAGATACCGTGCGGAGAGATTGATGAGCAGTCAAGTCGGTTGAAGGAGATTTTGCAGCGGAGGTACATGAGGTTATGAACAGCTGGGTGATGAGGGTGTATTGATGGAGGAAGCATGTCTGGGTTGGCTTGCGCTGTAATTAGAGCGGTGCAAGCACATTTTTTACTCACCTGTTGACTTATCGATCTATCATCGTTCCTCCACGGTGCACAAAACGAGGACTACTTTATGGACAGCCAAGAGTAGGCGTCCCATGAATGCATTGGGCCCCTGCAATCGGAATGTGTAATGTATCCTTTATTGTAGTTTAGACTAAAAAAACATCGGACACAGTGACATTCGCCAGTGGCGTAGCGGAAATGAAGCGCCTGCGTCGGCGGCGGTGTCTGACGGCGCGGCGGTGTCGTCCAGGCCTGGGCGAGTTCCGCTGGTACGCTCGCCGCGTGCTCGAGGTGGCGCTCGGAGAGTCGGCACAGGTGCACTGCTCCCTCCCGGAGAGCCGACCGCCGGCGCAAGCGCGATACAAGTTCAAGCAGAAGTGGCTGGGCACCGCCGCGGGTATGGCGCTCCGCCTCGCTCGCTCGCTCGCTCGCCGCGTTCGCCCGTGCCAATTTTTTTGTGTCCCCCCCCCCCTCCCCCGCGCTGTTCTCGCGGTGCCGAAGTCACGTGTGTGCGAGCGTGAGAGAATGAAGACACGTGACGAGTACGGGGAGTCGCCCCCCTCGCCTAGACGGCGTCGTTGCGCTACCCGAAAAGTTTGACTTCATAAAGCGAAACGACGCTCGAGCGACTCGTGCCCTGAGCTCTCTGTTGGACGTGCCATTCGCACCGCACGGACATTATCAGTCGCCTGTGCAGCACGCGCACGTTGTCGGCAAAGGCGTCGCGATGGTGCGACGCTAACAACCCACTCCTGGCAACGGCGCAGGGCGCGTGGAGCTGCTGCCGTCCGGGACGCTGCGCATTTGGAACGTGTCCCGCGAGGACGTCGGCGTGTACCGCTGCGCTGCGTACAACCCCGTGACGCAGGAGCAGAGGGTGCAGCGCGGAGGCACGAGGCTCCGGCTCGTTGGTGAGATCTCCGGCGCTGCGTCGCGCGGCACCGTCCGTGCCCCCCCTTGTCGAGCAGCACTTAAGTTTCGGTATAAGGTTGTGTTTCTGTTGGGGAACCTGCCCTGTAATTTGTGTTTATCAAGGGTCGGCCAAAGTTTGGCAATAAAAAAAGCCCACCGCGGATTGGAGAAGGTCACATGTCACGCGCGCGGGCGCCTCGCCGTGACGCGGTTGTGCCTGACATCATCGTGGTCTTCTCAGAAAGCGACGTTGTTATCGCTAATTAATTAATCACTTCTGAGGACAAACGCATGTCAGGATGTGTTTCATTGCCATAAATTGTGTTACTTTTTAAATCTCCAGAATAACCACTACCGAGTTCCCGCAACAGTGCACTGCAATTGTGATCTATGTGGTTGAATCTCCCAGCAGGGTTTAACCTCTCAACTCGTGAACAACACCAGCCAGACTGGTTACCCACCCAGTGGTGCATTGTGTGTTAATACTCTTCAATAAAAGTGAATTGGAGTCAATCTCTGCTTCCTATTCTTCCCTCTGTCTTACCTTTCTCACATTTCTCTGCTTTCTTTAATCCTCAATTTTTTTATTTATTTAAAACGTCTCAAATGGTGGCGAAAATGGGTGCCACGGTGGTGATATGTTAACTACCTCGCCTGGTATACAGGAGGTCGTGGATTCAATCACCATCTTGACGCCTGTATATTTGCTGTTTGCATGTTTTCCCCGTGGTCGCGTAGATTTTTCTCCAGGTCCTCCCGTTTTTCCCTCCAAATTTAAAGACGTGCGTCAAGAGTATTTGGCTGCTGCTATACATTTGTACGAGATAAGGCAATTCGTTGAGCTATGATTTGTGGACAGGTCGCTTCTGAAAAATAACTATATAGCTCAGTGGGCCTTTCCTGGTAGAATAAAAAATACTTTATTTTTGTTTCGTCTTATGGCGGTCTTTCAGTACTCTGCCTTCTTGTATTTGTTGCGCTGCTAGCAGGTACTTATATTAATTATTTTTAAAAGCAAAAGCCACCAGTCTCACGTCCCAGAGAGGCTCAACGTCTCGCGGTGCCGCCCTCCTCCTGCCGCAGAGAGAGGCGGCGGCGCTGAGCACGCGCAGCCCAAGGAGGAGGAGGAGGAGGAGGCGGCCGAGGAGACGGCGACGGAGCGCCTCCCGGAGCTCCCCCTGCAAGACGAGCCGGTGGAGGTGGAGGAGGAGCCGCCGTCGGGAACGCCCGGGTCCAGCGGGGTGCCGACCACCGTCGCTGTGCCCGCCCCCGCCGCCGCCGCTGCCGTGGCGACCAACTCGGCCCTCCTCCCTCCCGAGGCTCCCATAATGCTTAGCGCGCCCCGCAGCTCCAGCCCGGATTCGTACGAGCTGAGGTGGAGGCCCGGCAGAGACGGAGGAGCCCCCATCATGGCCTACCTCGTCAAGTACCGCAAGGTGCGGTCCTGTCGCGCAATTGCAAGCGGTTGCCGTATTCTCCAGAGAGTGACACAAACCCACCCCAGACTTGTGTCCGGTGTCAATAAAATTTACACAAATCTGGTCTCCCATACACAGACCTGCTGAATTTGCACCCTCAACTTTGCTTTGAAAAACAGGGGAAAGAAGTGAGTAAATGTATTGTTGTTGTTATTATTTTCATGGTTGTTTATCCAGTCATTATCCAGGGTAAGTTAAAGTGTCTCACTGTTCAAACGAGAGTTGGTCAGTGCTTATCCCCACTGGCAGCCCTGAGCCGGTGGTAGGAATTCCACATTTTGTGATGGTGGAACCAATCTCTCCAAAGGGCAACTGGTCTTCCCACAAATTTGTACTCCCTGTATTGATCCCCAAGGGATGATGGTGTTAGTTGGGCAAACAACCCAAAACAGGATCCTCTGAAAAAAAACAGGCTGAATGCTTTCTGAGGCTATCATGGATAAAGAAAATAATACCACATTTGGAAGTGGGAGCAAGTTTCGCCAGCGGGCAATCACTCTCAACTTTTCACACAAAGCGGTACTTACTTTGTCATCACACAAAGTTCCAAGTCTGACCGTGACCAGGAGGACCCTTTTGATGTTTGCCGCATTTTGACCTTGCCATGTCTGCCGCCTCCCCCCGCAGGTGACGGTGGAGGATCCTGTGGTGTGGCAGAGCATGCGCGTACCGGCCGACCAGCGCTCCCTATCGCTCACCGAGCTCGAGGCCGACAGCCTCTACGAGCTCGAGATGGTCGCCCGGAGTCGCGCCGGCAATGGGCAGCCGGCCATGCTCACCTTCCGCACCGCCAAAGGTATTCAGCCGGCACTGGTGCGGCCGGGGCGGGGGCCCGTACCACGCGGGCAGGCAAGACTTAGCCGGCGTTGCCGGTCTGCAGTCACTTCTGGGCATGTGCCGAGTCGCTCGGAATCGGATTTGTCTCGCCCCGATCGCTGATTTGTGCCGTTGTCCTCCCTCCCCCCACCCACCCACCACCACCGCAACATCACACCTTGCAGAGAAGAACAACAGCTCCCGCAAGCCCGGCAGCGGCCTGCGTCCCGTGAATCCGTGGCGCCGCCCTTCGAACGACGACAGTGGTGTCAACAGCTACAGTCTCAACTACAGCCCTGCGGAGCCGGACGTGCACACCGGTACGCACGCCGCGGCACTCGCTCCCCCACCCCCCTCCCCCCTCGGCCTACGCCCTCGCCTGTCATGCTCGTGTCAAAGAAGCGCATCTCGTTTTCCACTCACATTTTTTTTATTTGACAAGAGCCCGGTAATAGGCACGAAGCGTAATAAGGGAGGGGGTGCGGGTGGCGGGGGTTACAGGAATTCCAGAGTCCCAACTCGGTGCTCCTGGGCACTGGGAAAGGGGAGAAGATTGGGCTCACTGCCCCACTCATGTAGGGACTGTGAGCGGGAACGTGTCGCTTTTTATATGGGGAAGTTAAGGCGAGGGACGAAGAACAAAATTAAAGGGAAAAACAAAACGTTGGTGGGGGGGGGGGGCAATGCACGTAACAAAATCTTCCAAACAAAGTAATCTCTACACACACGGGCCATCTACTCACCTTTTTCAGGTTGTCGCTTCTCAAGCCGCCGCGCTTTCACCGTGGGAAACTCAGGTTGCGGCGTGTGCACCGCGCGGGGGGAAATGTTGAAAGTGCCCGGGGAAAGCCAGTGCCATGTCGGAGCAAAAGGGACCAAAATGTAAACGTTAAACACTACGTCGACCAGAGGCGTGGACGTGCGATCTCGCTCTGTTGTGGCCCTGAGCAAGCTTGGTTGTGATTTGGAGGCTGGGGCTGGGTTGGGATCGCTGGTCTGACGTGGGCCGCCATTGAGATACTGGTTGAGAATCGCTGTTTTGATTTGTTTTCAGCCTCTGGGTTTCTGGTTGAATTGTTACTGAATAAGTGCTGTTCATGAGGGCCAAAGTTATTGGGAAAAGGTGATAGGATTGGTAAAAATGTATACATCCTTCCACGTAAAAAACAATGTCCTCCTTCCAAAGAAGACAAAAGGAAAATTATCCATGTGCAGACAGTTTTAATCAATCTGCTACGAAAGAACACGGTAATTACAGAACACAAAACCAGCAGCGGCTGCTGTAAAAATGCTAAATGACTGACTAAGCTTTATTCGAACGTAACAGTGATATTTTTGTTTCTCACACACAATGAAAATCCAGTGACTTTCTGAAACATGATATATTTTAACTTGAAATCTTTGTCCCAATGCGCGTACTGACATGTCGCGGTGCTCGCCACTGTTTGCGGCCCCCAAACGGTCGCAGAAATTCCACATTGGTGCTGCGTGACGCAGCCTCTCTCCGGCAGTCGCTCTCAGTGTTGACTTGGCCACACGATGGTACACAGTTTATATCCACTCCAGAGGGATCAATGGATTTGGCTGGAGTAGCCATACCGAACAATGTTGTGCAAAAGCAGACATGGGGGGGGGGGTGGGGCGGGCAGGCGGTGGCAGTGTGTATGTACGAGAGAGAGGCATTAATCCAGCAACCATATCCATTTGACAAACAACATGCAGCTGTATCCTGAGTCTCGCTTAAGCCCCTGCTCACAGCGACCAAGGACACGGGAAGGCTGAGGCCTCGCTTCCACGTGCGAGCCCTCTCCGCGGGATGCGTGCCAGCGTGGACGACCCGCGGCACGCCCCAAACCTGCCTTGAGCTAAATCGATGCCGAGTAGTTGACTGCAGCTTGCTTCAAATCAATGGCAATCAACGCCCGAGCGGTGGAGGGAATGCGGCTGGCTTCACGAGCGTTGCTTCATAGCCGCGAGATTTTTCTTTTTTGCTAAAATCTAAAAAAAACGAAAACTTTTCTCACTCGCAAAATGCCGAGCCTCTTTAATGCACTTCAACTGGCGTTTTCATTGTCATTAACGGAGTTGATCGTTAAAGGGTACTCGGGTGAAGGGAGTAGGTGAGGGTTAGTGGGAGTCTCCGCTGGTTTATTGCATTCGTTTCGCATGGAAAACAAAGCAAGCAGCTGTTCCGTGGGCCCGCCGCTCGCTCGCTACGCGGGGCTTCACGAGTCCGCCCTCCCCACCCCCGCAGCCTCCTCTGAGCCCCGCAAAAATCTGAGATCCGTGTCACAGCTTTAAACGGGCCAGACAGAGAAAACACGAGCAGTGATTGCTTATCTACGTTAGAGGATTGCTTGAAAACAACCAAAGCACTCTTTCTCCTTGTCCTCCTCTCCTCTGCTCCACTTTTACTCGTGACGCTATCTCTTCCATTTCTTGATTTTCCTACTCCAACTCTTCCACTTCGTATTCTTCCCTGTCTGCCCATCTCCTTCCTCCATCTACTGCCCCTCATACATTCCTCCTCTTAATCATCAACATCTTCACTCTCCTGCTCATCCTCATCCCTCTGCTTCTCATATTCATCATCATCCTCATCTTCCTCATCCTCCTGATCCTCATCCTCCTACTCCTCATCCTCCTCATCCTCCCCCCTGTCCCCCGCAGTCCCCGAGGCCCCGTGGGCGGTGAGCGTGCGCTCCGGTGCCAGCGGCGCGGTCTTCGTGTCGTGGATGCCGCGCGGCACCGGCGGCTCCCCCGTCAGCGCGTTCCGCGTCGAGTGCCGGCGAGTGGGCCGCGGCGCCGGCGAGTGGAAGGAGGCCGCGTCCGGCATCCCGCCCGCCAAACTCGCCGTGCAGATCGACGGCCTCGCCGCCGGTAAGGCCGTCGACCGTCGTCATCGGACGTGGAGCGTGGGGCGCGGTGGGCGCTGCTATGTTAAAACATGAATGTATGTATTTTATCCCAATGTTGTATGTGTTCATGTTGAGCCACTTTCGCACCGTGTGCAGACAACCGTGCTCATCGGAGGTGCGGGGGAAGGACGGCAAACTAAACACTAAAAGCAGTTCTAAAGTAATTCGTTTTCAATCTAGATTTAGAAGTGCATAGCTCCAGTGGCTTCCTGATATCGGAATGAAGAGCGTTCCAGATGGCCGCAGAAGTGCACCTAAAAGCGCACGATGCGGTGACCGTCCTTGTTCAATGACTATCCAAAAGCCATTGCAAGGATGACTTATGAATATTGATGAAATATCAATTGTTTGGCTCTCAAGGGGGTGGCGATTGCCTCCATCCCCCCCCCCCTCCTCTCACCATCCTTCCGTCCTGATCTGCCACCAATTGTCAGACAGTTGATTGTGTACAAGCTATTCATGCATGTGGAGATGATGGCGCTGCCACGTTTTAATGGTTGGCACACTGGGCCTGCAATCCAGAGGTGACCGGTTCATCCTCACATTTCTTAATGCCCCCCACCCTCCCCCCACCCTCACCTCTGCCCACCTCGCAGTATAAATGGCTACACCACAGTCAGTCGATCGGCGAGTCGCGTGTAGCAGGGGTAGTGTGGCTTACACCCATCTTCTTTCAACACGAGTCTGGTGGACGTGGCGGAGTAGGCCCCAAATTCTCTCCGTTGTAGTTCGCTCCGGCGAAGGCCCTTCCACCAGCTTTGGCGTGATTTGGCACATTTCAGGGTCCGCAATCTTTGCAAAAAAATTTTTTTATCCCACTTTACCTCCTATAGACAACGAGCAAAACAAAATAAAAACCTCGACATAAATCGTCGCGCAGCTTCTGACCGTCGTCGATCCGTGCGCGCTTCCTTGACGCTCCCAGGCTGGGCGTACCGCTTCCGCGTGGCGGCGCTAAACGCGCACGGCGAGAGCCCCTGGAGCGTCCCCTCCACGCCGTTCTACCTCTCGGGCTCCCCCGGGGGGGGGGCCGCCTCCCAGCGAATGCTCGCCGCCCCCCACATCTCCGCCACGGAGGCCGTGAGCGACACGGCCATTCGCATCACCTGGACCGTACGTTGCAATTTTTGCACGCTTTTTATTAACTCACTGTCTGTTGTATCCTCAAATCTTGTAACTCAATTTGTACCCACTTCCCAATGAGGTATCGACTGCAAACTCGGTATACTTATGTCATACTGATGACAATACTATATTATATAATTTAAAAAATAATTATATATTTTTTTACATTTATTTTCTGTATGTTATGTTTCGGCTTGGGTCTAATTGTCCACGCTCAACTGACGTGGGCTGTTAATCACCACGGTCCCTTACGTTATGGCAAGCTTCGGGGCCACTTCCTGGAGTAGTGGTGGAGTTCTGCCATTACTAGTATGGTAATTTCATTAAAGCGTGTTTTAAAAAAAAGTTTTTTAAAAATATTACTTATTTTTTTAACGATCGACGATGATGATAACGATGATGCCCGAGAGTGCGGTAGCACGTAGCCGCAACAACCGTTCACATCCCTGTCTGGGAAAGACGGTGAAATGATGCTAGTTGTCGTGTGCAATGACTGGCACCCACCATAGGAATGTGTAAATCCCACCAATATGTGCTGGTTCACCAGAAATGCCCCATGCTCATTTGAGCAGGGTGGAGTAAAGTTAAAGGTGCGGCCCCGCAGTCACTTGCTCTCGCCTCCGCTGTATTTGGTCTGCTCTTTCACGCCGACCAGATGACCTGGAAGAGTGTTGGAGTACACACTCTTTACCCCACGACTGGATATGGTTTAAACTGCTGGGAGGACAGAAGCAGGTTAGGGGGGATTTTAAGAAACTTGCTCGATTTGTTTCTAACTGCCGTGCCGGGAGACGGAGCAATATTTCTCAAGTAGAATGTTGTGTGTGTGTGTGTGTGTACGTATGTTGAACTTCTTTCGCACCGTACGTAGCCAACCGTGATAACCGGAGGTGCGATTCGTGATGATGAGAGTGCTGCAAGGACGATTGTCAATGTGGTAGTGATGGTGGCGATTATGGCGACGGTGATGACGACGATGGTCACGATGCCGCAGCCGCCGCGGACGACGAGGAGGATGATCACGCTGATGGTCGTGACCCCCCCCCCCCACCGCCCGCCCCCACCCCGCGTGCTCGTCGTACGCAGTTTGCGTCGGCCGCAGCTCCGGCGCAGCCCGTGCAGAAGGTGACCGTCTACTACCGCCCCACCGACAGCGACAACGACGAGGACTACCACAAGGAGATCCTGCACGGTGAGCGCCTCGGCGGCACCCGGCACGAGCCACCGCCGTCGCATCGGCTTAGGGCTCTGGGGGATGTTTAGAGTTCGAGGGATGTGAGGTGCGAGCGGCGTTCGCGCTGTGCAAGTTGCGCGCAGGTGAGCACCGTTCCAGCCGCAGACGCGCAGCCTTCCTCGGTTCCGTGGCCTCACGTCCGACGCAAATTCACAGTTTGAAAACGGCGCACAAATTCGCGCCGCGCTCGTAAGCAGTCAGAAGGTGCGGCTTCCCCGTCTTGCCTTGTACGCGTGTGATGTGACCACCGCGTTACACGGACGGTGCTGTCAGCCTTGTCGAGGCTGCCAGCTCAAGAGAGCTTAACGTGGTGGGGCCGTATCGTTGTTTAGATCGCCAACTCGAATGCGAAATGTGGCCGTCCCATTTTGTTGGCATGGGTTTTCTCATAATTTACAGAAAGCATTGCATTTTAATTAAGTGTGAAGAGAGCACGTGCGTTAGTATAACGGTCTGAGTTGTGTGACGTGTGCATTGTGGGTATTTACCACAGTGATTTGAGAACTGAATGTAATGTCTTTCAGATTTCTGTGTGTGTGTGTATGCTGTCCTAGCTTGCACTGTGGGGAGCGGTGGTGTAGCGGTTAGCGCGCTGCGCGATGAACCCGGTAATCCGGGTTCAATTCCCGCTCACGGCCAACACCAGTGACGATTATCTGAACCGGTCCTGGGCCTCCCCTAGGTTGACTCGGCCTCAAATTAGTACCTGGTGCGGTGTGTAAACATCGCCACTGGGGAGAAAAAGGCGGTCGGGCGTGGTGCTGGCCACCCACCCCCTCGTGTACCGTTCCGGCCTTCGTAGGTGCTCGCTACCAGCACTTGCCCCTACAGTCTGTTAAGGCTATACGGGGAATCTGTCTTTTTGCCTTTGTCTAGCTTGCACTAGAATTCAGATTCATTTGTTTAACCAGGTTAGAGCTCAAGAGACCAAGCATAGACTCATTTGCAATATAAAGTACAGCAAAGAAGCACATGAAAATCAGAGCAAACAAAACACGTCTACAGGAGACAGAGAATACTGCACGAACACAAATCACTGTTAAAGAGAACAAGTTCCCTGTAACTTTCATTCCAGGGGAAGAAACTAAGACTAAACTAAACTTTTAATTTTAGCAGGTAAGGCCCATTGAGCTACATAGCTCTTTTTGAGAAGCAACTTGGCCACAAATGATGGCTCAACGAAGTGGCTTCTCACGTGGACATTTATGGCAGCCAAATACTCTAAATACATGTTTCTAAATGTCGAGGTGAAAAACCCGAGGACCCGGAGAACGATGCACGCAACCATGGGGAGAACATGCAAATTCCAAATATGTAGGCGTCAGGGTCGGGATCGAACCCACGACCTCCTCTATACCAGGCGAGGTAGCTAACATCTCGCCATCGAGATGTTCATAGCACAATCACGTTACAGGAGCATGAAGATATGTCACGCCGTAGCTGATTGCATCCTGCAGCTGATAAACACGTGGCGTGCCGCATGAATCGCGCGGTCACGCGTTGGTCGAATTAATCCACGATGCGGCCCGGCCGTAACAGCTGCCGTTCGCCGTTTCACCCCAGGGAGCAGAGACTGGCACGTGCTGAGCGGACTTCAGCCCGAGACGTCGTACGACATCAAGATCCAGTGGTTTAGCACGGCGGGAGAGAGCGAGTTCAGCAACGTCATGATCTGCGAGACGAGAGGTGGGCGAGCGCGAGTGCGGCGTCCGTTGTAACGTATCTTGCGCTGACAACGGCCTCGAAATCAAATCGCCGGGCACCACGAGTTTCGATGGCATCAGCGGCCCGTTACGCATGACGGCGTCGTCCGCAATAACCCTCTTGACCCCGATCTCGAGCTTGACCCCGATCTTAACCGCGCCTCCCCCCTCGCCCCCCCCCCCCCCCAACGTGCAGCTGCTGGCAGCCTCCTCGACTTCAACGACCCCACCGGCCGCGACGGCGCCGACCGGCCGGCGCCACCCCCGGCCGTGGACGGCGAGAGCATGTCGCCGCACGCGGCCCCCAGCCGCGACCTCCTCTACCTGCTGCTCGGCATGGGCCTCGGCCTGCTGCTGCTCGTCGTGATCCTCTTCGTCGGGCTGTGGGTGTGGCGCGCGCGCCAACACTGCCGCGGCTACGGCTCGCCAGGTGACGACGCGCTCGCCGGTCGGGGTTCGTTTTGGTGAAAGTCGGCGCCGGGACGTTGGGAGAGTAATTGGCTGCTGCTGTGCGTGTCCACGTGGTGGTGATGATGACGAGGCACTTCGTTTTGAGCTATCATGTGTGGCCAGGTCGCTTCTGAAAAAGAGCCACATGGCTCCGTGGGCCTTACCTGGTGAAGTAAAATTAGTCGCAGGAGGATACTCTCTGGTTGTTTCGGTAACGTCACGTAGATAGAAAAATAAAACTAAATTTTCATTGAAATCAAAATGTACTTTTTATTCTAATCTTTCTGTCTTCGTGACTTTACCGAAAGAACCAAAGAATATGAATTCCTGCAGTCACGAAGGTTTTAAGCATAGCACGGCACGAATCCACGATAAACGCTTTTGTGTTGGTGCCGTGTCGAGGGTAGGGGCAGCCGCCGCCTGAATGTTTTGGCCAAATTGCTGGCAACGAAAGGAAGCACAGTGGCAGCCGGTGCCTCGTGTGTTTGGTAGGGCGTGCCACCTCGATGTCTGGCTCCGGCTCTGGTTCGTGTTGGGCACTTCTGAGTGTTTTAATGGTGATAAAGTGGAAAGGGTACGAGGTTGAATAAGGTGCCTAGCGTTTGGGGGGGGGGGGTGGGGGGGGGAAATGCAATGCTTTGCGAGTCTCTTGACTGTACGTGTCTATGTATGTATGATAGCCAGATTGTGGGCACTCCAAACAATCGCATTTGTCTTAACCAAGGGGGACGCCTTTGAACGGTTGTGATTTTCACCGAGTGTTATCGGCAAGGTGTGGCTCATTTAAACAAACAGTACGTTGGGGCCCAATGTTTTAAGAGAGATCATCCCGTGAATGCCAAGCTCACCCGAGCACGTCTGTCGGTATTTTGTCCCTTTCCCCGCGCTCGCGTCGCTGCTGCCCAACGCAGGCCCCGTGCTGCCCAACTGCAAGGCCGAATATCTCTACCCGAGCCTGGACTACACCTCCGTCTCCCTGCCCGGCACCGGCCTCGTCAACGGTGGCATCGTCGGGCCGGCCATGATGAACGGCGGCTCCCCGTCCCCGCCGTCCGTGGGGCCTCCCGACGAGCGGTCGGACGCCAGCGGTCAGCGCGGGGCAAGCGGCCCGGGACCCGGGGCGGCCGCCGCGGCGGCGGCGGCGGCGGCGGCTGCAGTCGCGTCCTCTTGTTGCTGTGGCAACGGTGCGGTGGCCGGGTTGTGGGAGGGCGCCGGCGGTGGCGGCGGCGGCGGCGGCGGCGGTGCCGTCGGGCCGCCCTCCACAGGACACCACATGGGCTGCGTTGGCTGCCTGGGACTGGAGTACCAGCAGCGTGGCCACCACGCGCTCAACGTGAGTGGCTTTGGGTGCCAGCCCCGCTTAACCGCCGGTGATGTCGGGTCAACGGAGAGTAGCGTCATTGCGTGCCGGGTAGCCTATTTCAATCGGATGTCGCCTTGATTAAAGCGCGTCCCGATGTTGAGCGCATTTTTACTTGTTTCGGAAATGGTGTTCACTGCAGCAGCATTTTGTTCGGAAACCAAATCGAGTTTAGATTGTTGGAGCTATCTCGTTCGAGTCTCCGTTGGTGGCACCGAACGATACAGACTCCACACTCTCACTGTGAAGACAACCTCTCCATAGGACCAACAGCTGTTCCCTCATTTAATCGATATTGGAAGGATTAGTTGACCCACACCACCCAGATATGTATACATTCAGAAGACAGAGAAGACTATGGTTTTATTATTATTCATAACGTAATTTAATCAGGAGAGTCACACCTTGAGAAGTTTGACACAATTTCTCTTGACAGAGGATGCAAATGCTCGTACTCATGACATACTCAGTGTATGGCAATTGCGCAATGCATCTCTTATTGTCAAGCTGCCGTTGTTGCAACGGTTGGCGCGACCGGACTTGCGACCCCTAGGTCGCCAGTTCAAATAAATCTCCCAGCACGGCAGTTGATATAAATTCCTCCCCCCCCCCGCCTCTCTCCGCCGAGCAGTATAAATGGGTTCACCAAAGTCGACCGGCAGGTCGCGTGTGCTGGGGTAAAGTAATGGGTGCTCGCCACCTCTTCCGAGACATATGTTCAGCGTGGAAGAGTAGGCCACATGCCTACCGTCCTGAAGGGGCTCTCTAGAGCTTCCTTCGCTAGAGTCCCTCCCGACGACGGTAGTTGTGCGAGCCAAGAATTTGCGGGGCTGCTCCATTTCCTCCTGCCTTGCACGTTTCACTTAGACTCGCCGCGTGATCCCCTGCGATTTGAGTAAATTCAATTATTCTGTCATTGGACCTTTGCAGGGGAGAGGCTTGTACCACGCGGTGCCACAGACAGAGTCTGCCGAGTGCAACGACTGCCGGAACTGCAGCAACAACAACAGGTGCGTGCGTGCGTGCTCCCGGACATTGCACGTACTCATAGCTACGAGCAAGGGACACGATGCATTTTCGGCTTGCTTGTCAATGGAGTGATGAAACCAGGGGCTAGGTGGGATTGCCACAACGCAGGATGGTGAAAGGGGGCGGCGACGTGCGGAGGCGTTTGTCCAGCGGTGGTTTTGACGATGGCTCATGTTGACGATAATAACTTTCTTTTTTTGGCCGCTAATTTGGGGAGTGTCGCATGTTGGCTCAAGGTCTTTTCACTCTCAGATAACGTGAATGCCGCGTTCGCCTTCAGCACGGCAGTTCCTTAAGGGTCGGGATTGTTACCGAGGGTTCCATCGGTGAAACTCGGAGTTGCTTTTCCCCATGCTCTACAGATGCACCCTTCAAAGTATTGCACCTTCCCAGAAACGCAAACAATCAAAACACAAACGATCAAAACTCGTCGATCATTTCCGTGTCAACATTGCAGTAATGTGGCCAAGTCTGTAAATGTTTGCAAGCGAAACCCTCGCAAGTGAAATTGAGAGAAGCAGTTAAAAATAAATACCTGGGAGGGAGTGTTTTTTTGTAATGCGAATCACTTGCATTCCAGTAACAATTTGGTAAGCGTAAGAGTTAATCGCATGTAATCACCTGCTATTTATCCAGACACGAGTATAATGCAATGTACAATTACAGTACTAGGTAATTGTGCAGCCAGATTGAGCGCACTTGTAAGGCATTGCTCAATAATTGGCTACTTGTAGTCTAGCCTTATTGCTGGAATGTTGCGTGACAATTACCGTATAATGGCCGTGTTATTAGCCGCTGAGCCTTGTTGGGAGTGCTGCATCAAGTGCCTCCTCCCTCAGTGTTGTTGTTCCATTTCAAATTTAAAGTTCAAGCAGCTTCTGGGGTTTCATTCACAGCCCCCGTTTCCTCGGCAAGGTTGCAACGAGCCATGCGTGAAGCCAAGTTAGCTTTGTTGGCCACCTATTGCCATCGTGGCCACTGAGCTGATGTCAAACTTGCACAATGCCACGGTTCAAAATCCCACTGCTTCACGATGATTTTATTTGTGTTTAATACAGATCCCAAATTTCATCTCCCTGCAAAGTGGTATGCATTTTATGAGCCCCCAAAGAATTGCGATGATGGATTTTATTTGACCAAATAATTAGAATAAGAACTTCCATTTGTATGTCTAGTGCTCTGCCGTAACTCTACTTACATATAAAACAAAGACAAAGATCCCCCGTGTAGCCTGAACAGACTCTTGGGGCAAGTGCTGTTTGCGAGCACACACACACACACAAGTGGTATAGGAATGGGAGCACCCATATGGTGGTCCGAAGCCAGTGCTGAATATCCCACATTCCTACATGGAGAGGAGAATCAACGCATCGCGTGGCTGCCACACCACATACACACGTGGTTACTGCCCTTGCTGATATTATTCGTCACATGGCACCTTCGCGGCATTGATCGCTGTTATCGCTGCCCTCGTCGCTGGCGCACGTGCAGGTGCTCCCCCAAGCCTGGCCGCTCGTCTCCGACCCCCCACGAGCCGCACGTGAGCGACCCTTCGCCCCGCAGCGGTGGCTTCGACGACGAGCGAGACCGCGGCGGGGGAGACGCCGGCACCGACGGCAGCGGCTGCGGTAACGTGGCCGGCGGCGGCGGCGACCCCTCGCCTCCTCCGCCTGCGCTGCCTCCGGCCGCCGGAGAGCCGGGCTCCGCCGACAGGTCGGAGGTCGACACCACCAGCGAGAGCGATGGGGAGCAGCCGGCGGTGGCGGCACAGCGGCGGTGTCCGGGCGCGCTGCTCGCGAACGGCGGCGCCCTGGTACCGGGCGCCCGCTGCAAGAGAGGCGCGGAGAACGCTGCCGGTGAGCGTGCGGGGGCCCGGAGCCACGGCGGCCTCCAGTTCGATTCCCGGCCACGGCTAATGTCGGCAGTGATTATCCGGACCAATCGCGAATCGGATAATCGGCACCCCAATCGTTCAGACGTGCCGGCCTCCATTTAGGTGCTCGCTCGTGTCACTTGCCCCAGGAGTCTGTTAAGGTCATGTGTCGAATAATTGTGTTTGCGTGTAAGTGTGTGCGTGTATTGCGGGGTGAGGAGCCGGAGCGTAGTGGGTCAATGTGGCGACCGCCACGCTACCAACGCGCCGGCCCAAGTTCAATTCGTGGCCATGGCGAACATCAGTGGTGATGTTCGGAACTGGTCCTGTGCCTTCCTAATGTTGACTTGGCCTTAAGTGAGTGCCTGGTGCAGTTTTTTTTACATCAGTACCAAGGAAACCAAGGCGGCCAGCCATGTTACTGGCCACACCCTACCTCTCTGTATGCCCTCCCGGCCTTAACCCTTTCCCATTCCGATGACGTACCGTTCCGAAAATCACCACTGACGTACCTGTACGTCATCGGAACGGAATGGGAACAACTAAAATAAATAACTTTATTGGTACGTCTTCAGGTCGGAAGACATAGCGAGGCTTCCGCACCTCCGATTAGCACGGTTTGGATACATACGGTGCGAAAGGAGTTTAACATGCATACATACATGTGGCACAGTTTGGCGTCAGCTATTATAGAGTGCGGTCGTGTCGCTACACTTCTCTGCAGTGAGTACAATTTCTTTAAAAAAAGACAACGGCGCTATGCCTCTCTTAGTAAAATGAACGCGAACCGCTTGCGCGTTCCTTGATTCAGCGGCGAACGGGAACCCACCACCCTGCAAAATTGCAGACGTCTCGGAACGGGCAAGGGGTTCAAGAACATACCACCTCTGAGTGACGCACATGCTTGAGAATAGCACGTAGAGCACCGTTTCACAATCATTTACTTACGCGATCCGTATCTCTGTTTCTTCCACAGAACAGGGTGGCGTTAGGCACGTGAGGGTGCGGCCAGTCTCGGACTACATCCGACCGTCGGCAATGGACTATCAAATGGACAGAACCAAAATGCAGAACGGGGGTTGCAAACACACACCCCCCGCTGCGGGGAGCAATGGACTCTACCTGGAAATGCAGTTGCTGAAAGTGTCGTGACTTGCGGTGAACGCGTTTCGTGGAGCGGAGGCAAACTGTGGGAGGGAAAGTACGGGAGGTGGCGGGCAAAGTTTATGCAGTGTAAAATAATGAAAAATAAAAGCAAGCATATTTATTTTTTTATAGTTTATGCAACTGGTCGTGTTTGAATGTAGTTGGAGTCAAATGTTTTATTTATGTCAAAGTGGCCTTAAATTGAAATGTATTGCACAGATTAATGTGTGCCGTTCTTCCTCCCCCTCTCCGTCATTAAATGAACATAAGCATGTAAACTTGTACATTGTGTTGAATAGGTGAATTGTTACTAGACGTCAACACTAACACTGCCAGTGTCCTATATTTTTTTGTATATCTATGGGGTTAGGTACCAATACGTGCATATACGGCTATAAATACGGGAATGTATTATTATTGTTGCTGTGTTTATTATAACTCTGTGTATAAATGTACAGTGGTATTTCAGCACTTGCGAGTGTTCTGTAACTATAACGGAATCCTCTAAGATGTTCACGTGTATAAATCTAGTTTTAAAAACTGTTTACCAATGTACTGTGTGTACACTGGCTATACTTGCCGTATGCCTATACGTAACCTGTATTACAACCTACAGCGGCAGGAAGCCGTAGCGTAGCCCAGTGCAGTTATTTCATTGTGCAGTAATCTCTCGTTATTCACGAATTTGCTATCCGCAATTTTGGCTGTCCGCGAATCGCATCTGGAACTCTTCACGACTGCATCGAGAGAGAGAGAAAGAAAGTGATGAGAGAGAACTTCTCGAAGCTTTAGAAGCATCTGCAGACAGACGTTGTGCCTACGATATTCGTAGGCCGACATCACTCTCCGCAAAATGCTCTGTTCACGAGCATCTCCGGAATGTATCCCTCGCGAACAGCGAGGGAATACCGTATCTCAAATCGCGTCTCTCTCTCTCTCCTCCGCGTCCAAGCCAAGTGGGAAATTGTCAACGACAAAGGGGGGACAGCTGCATGATACAACCTGAGCGAATAGGCACCGTTTATTTCTCACGCACATCCGTGCAAAGTAAGGGAAGGTTTCACTTCAGACGTTTCATGCAATAAACCAAAGGATGGGAAGTGTCTATCCGTGTTCCGGTGGAGGTGTTGTAGATTAGCGCTGCCTTCTTCTGTCTGCGTGCCTGACCGCCGGCCCAAAAGAATAGGTCGGGTGTCTGTGCTCACTTGCAAAATATATCACGAACGGTATCGTTTTCTTACTTTGTAATGTCAATCGGTGTGAACTAAAGGAGAATTTCACTTTAAAATGGCAATGCCCGGTTGTATAACATTCCTCAATGGAAATGTCCCTAATGGAATGTTACGCAGCTGCCCAGTATCCTTTTAACTCTACAATTGCCGGACGATGAGGAGGAGCTTTTCAGCAGAGTCTCATCAAGGGATGCCGCTGTGTTTGCGTGTGTGTCTGCACACGCAAAGACAGACAGCGGTAGTGTCGCGGTTAGCGCACTGCGCTACGAACCCGGCGACCCGAGTTCGATTCCTGCTCACGGACAACATCAGTGTCGATTATCTGAACCGGTCCTGGGCCTCCCCTAGGTCGACTCAAATCAGTACCTGGTGCGGTGCGTAATAACATTTCCACTAGGGAGACAAAGGCGGCTGGACGTGGTGCTGGCCACCCACCCCCTCGTGTGCCGTTCTGGCCTTCATAGGTGCTCGCTAACAGCACTTGCCCCAACAGTCTGTTAAGGCTATATGGGGGATCCTTGCCTTTGTGCACACGCACGTGTGTGTTTGAGTTGCAACCTAGCCTGGTAAAAATGTAAACAAGGTAATTCTACATTTTAAGGATGTGCCTTCCAGACAAACAGGTTCATAGTATTCAACACAATGTTGATGAACGCACAGCGCGTGCGCTGTGCCCTGCAGTGGGCAATGTTCAACACAAGCACGAGAGGATGGGGAAGTGTATAGGCATCAGTTTGTGCGCATTGCATTGTGGATACTCAAAAAAACAACGCATTCGGTTCTTGGCCTTCTGCGGTCTCCCTCTTATGAAACAAAGGAACGGTCTGGTCGATTTTCCACCACTGTCTGCTTGTGGCCAATGTAAATGAGCGTTGCCTCAACTCTCATTTGAACAGATGTGCAGTTGTGTAGCCGTGGAGCTATAATGGGTGTGAAATTAATCACTTGTCGGACACTACTAATCCTTGGCTGTGGCAATGGAGAACTTGTTAACTCGAAATCCTGAAATGTGGGCTTCTGGTGAAAACTGAACCTGACTACTTGATGACGAGGTTCGGTTGAAATCGCATTACTAGTACAGTGTTGCTATTGTGTAGCTGTTTAATATGTCGACAGGAGTTACGTCTTCCATTCTGCTGCATCGTAACAATATGAGTTCACAAAAAAAGCAATATTCGTTGAAATGGGTAAAGCTCTCATGGTGATTTTTTTGGTCATGTCAAGTTATACAAATTGTCATCGTGCAAGTCATTGTTTTAATGGTTTAAAATTATCCATATCGCGTAAATGTTCGCAGTGGTGGAACCATGTTCCTTTCAAAATGTTCTCCAGAAAGCGTTGTTCTTCACACACGCACACATTCAACAGATATATATTTAAACACGAGGCTATGGACAGTGCGTCGATTCCCTCTTCACGACACATGCATGGCATCGCGTGTAATAAATTATTAACATCTATTTGCGTATGCTGTGTGTGTGATTAGTTCATGTGACCACTGGAGATGCTGCCTTCCACCGCAGTATATATTTTTTCACGCGCAAAAATAATTTCACTCAACCTTCAGAATCCTGACGATTCCTCAAATCGTGATGTTGGAGAATCCTTTCAGAGCCGATAACAAAAAAAAACCACGCACAGACCCAAATGCACGTGCAACAACAACAGCCAGACTACACTGTGGCGTTCGTGCCAGGCCAGGTGCACGTGAGGCCACGTGGGTGCTGAAGTCTCACTGCCAAGAGGTCAAAAGACAGACGGACAGAGGCGGTGCGGCGTCAACAGACTTGGGTGCCTGGCAGAATCACAAACTGCACTTGCCACTGTGACGAACTGACTGCATTTTTAGTTGCCAGACAAACAACACACACACACGTGCACTCGCATAATTTACGTATAGTCCATTTCTCTGTTATTTTCACATAAACATGTTAACGTGTGCCATTTTAAAACAAATGTAATTAGGCCAATTATTTAAATCACATCAGCAACCAATTTAAACCGTTATATTTAAGCGTTTTCTCAGAGTGTGGTCTGTGTGTGTGCGCGCGCGCGCATGTACAACAAAAATCACTGAGTTTGCTGATACAAATACAGTATATACACTTTAGGAATTTCCCATTGGCACTACTGTTTGAAACTGCAATATCAAGGCACATTAGAATAGCTACAATATTGTCATTTGCTCTAGTTATCGTGGTGTAGTGTGATACTCCTGTGTTGTGACAACCCTGTGCGTGTATAACCCTCACGGATGAACGCCGCTTGACAACTGTTATTGAGTCTGCTCACTGCCGCGACAATGATGTAAAGGCGTAGTTATGCACCTCGGGCAAAAAAACAACACACATTCGCCATTGATTCTCTGCTGTTTTACCCCAGCCAAAGCTTTGATTTGCGTTAATGCCAGCTGCATGCAGTTATATATTTTTTTTTATCATTTAAACTAAAAAAAATGTTCTCTGTAGTAGCACTTGTAAGCTTTTTCTTGTGTTTTCGTTTTAGTTCGCTATTCTGATACGGAGACAATGTATTCTTCTCCTTTGGTTCTTTCGGTAAAGTCACGTAGAATGAGAATAAAATAATAAAATAACACGATAAAATTCTCACGACGCTTCGGCCACAACGCAAGCGGCCGTCTTCAGGTGAAAGGTACAAGAACTGTATTTTATTATTTTATTCTCATTCTACGTGGTGACTTTACCGAAAGAACCAAAGAAGATGAATCCTTGCAGTCACGAAAGCTTCAAATCGAAATGTATTCTTCCGCAAGTGTTCATCCTCACTGCAATTTTCATTAATTCTCAAGTTCTTCTTTTAACACGCTGATCAGTGCTTGCACATTTTCTGCCGAGACGCGTGAAACAGATGCGCTATTCTACCTTGATGGTCGGTTGATAAGTCTTTTTTTTTTGGGGGGGGGGGGAAATAAAGATGAGTTACTTTAAACAATGGCCTTAAAATCAGTGTAAAAGCATTGTGTTGGGCGTCGTAAGATAATTAACCGCAGTGCTGCCTTACGTAACGCATAGAAGTGCTCCTAATGTTGTGTTAGCAATGCAAAATAATGACACGTTGCTGGCACGAATTGCTTTTGTTTCATTTTAATTTATTTTAACTGTTGGGGGGGGGGGGTGGTATGCAAAAAAATTGCAAGTTAAAATATACTAAAATAAGATTGTTTTTGTCCATACCTTAGAACATTGCTTATTGTTACAGCTTTGGCCAAAATAACGTAAGCTTGTGTTTTCATGTTTTAAAACAAATGAAACACATTCTTCTTTAACAAAATGCAAGAGTGAGTTGTCGTTGTACAATTGCCTTGTTCACTTCAAACAGTGATCATTACTTTCCACCTTGTGCAACAATATTGTTCTAGAAGGTGATAATCATGATCGGGTTCTTAACTGCCACCGTTTCAGAGATGACGTCGCCGCAATTTATACAAAACATTAACTTTGACACCTAGCTAAGCCTGACAGCGATATTTACCGAGGCTACTGACGTATAACAGCAAGAACGCATGACACTCACGTGTATTTGATATCCAGAGCCTTAAAAACTAGTAAAATGAAGAACATTTCTCGATTTAGTAGCTAAAATAACAAACTCGTTTTTGTTTTAGTGGCTTCTTGTTGTACATACTTGCTAACACAACCCTCGTTTAAATGAGCCATGTATGGCCAAAGCGGCGGTAGGCAGAGTGGGCATGTGTTTTTTTAATATATAAAGGTTATGTTTTGTATGTTTTATATATTTTTTTATTTTCCTGTCTTGCAGGACGGACTTAAATTAAGCAACTAAAGTGTATCATAATTGAGATCATTGTTAAACAAAAACATTAATGTTGAGTAATGTTACGTGCTATAAATGTGTGTGTTTTTAAGGTTTACATAAGCTTTGGTAAAGTGAACTGTTTGAGAAACAAAGGAAACCCCAACATTGTTTTGTAAAGTTAAACTTGGGATTTGAAATGTGACCGGGAGTTCAAATGTAAAAAAAAGTAACAAAAATAAAAGTTTTATTCTATGAAGCATATGTTGGCATTTATAAGTGGTTTACTTCCAAAGGTAGGCTCATGTGTGTTTGGAAAGGTTTTTGGGGCAGGTTGTCATCCAGCAATGGATTGGCCGTGGTTGAAAATGATGATGATGATGAAAGGAGTTCACGTTTGCGTGTGTGTTGCTCTGCTGACGGATCATTCAATGTTTAGTTTTTGCTTTGTGAATTATTGTTGATGCGGCAGTAATTAAGAGTTAACACAAATTTGATCGCATCCTGATCGTGTTGGGTAGCTGATTTTGTAGAATTCCGCAAAACTCACACGCGACTTTTTTTTATTATTCTGCAGGGAGATATACAGGGTGGCCCAAAAGTCAGAACACGGTTATTCTACGTATTTTAACAAACCACACAGGGTTGTTTAATTTATTTGAACAAATATTCCAACTGACTACCATTAACATTAATGCGTGCACAAATAATATATATTATTCATGACTTTAGGACTTCCTTTCAGATTGCAGGTCTAATCTATTAAACATTAATCAATTCTGTTTTGTCTCAATCCCTTGTGGGTTCTTGGTCGTGTTTTGTAAATGACGGATTAGAGGTGGCCAGCAGAAGAAAAATAAATGTTCATACTGTAATATATAAATGCTCATTTGAAGACTAAACATTTGCACGTTTTAATGCCAGTGTAAAATCAATTACGGCCCTGTGTCCTGGCTTTTAGGACACCCTGTAAGGTATATTGTTGGATTAAGATGTGTACACCCTTTTTGTTCTTTCGGTAAAGTCACGTAGGTAGAAAAATAAAATAAAACAAAAAATAATATATCGCGACGTTTCGAT